TCTACATCTAAGAATTTTTAAACTAATTTCTTGGGTTCCTACAGGCAAGGTGACTTGTCAAGATGATCCATCAACTCCCTCACCCTCAGGTTCTGCAGATATGGTTAAAGGTGATGAGCAATTTGGAATAACAATGCAATTCTGCAACTTTTAAAGGCCTCTTGGAAACCTGAGCTGTTGTTACTAATCAACAGGGGCTACTGTATGGCATCAAGTGACAAATCCTATTTCTGCTTATGTCCACAGGAACTACTGTCCGCAATCCTGTCACTGATAGCCTCACAGGTAAAGCTCTGTCTGATGAACCAAGTGTGGATTCTTCAGCAGTTGCTTTTACTTTAGCTGCCGTCCCAGCAACCTCGAAACCTCTGGAAGATAATACTTTTGAAAACACATCTGAACCCCTTGTTGTTACTACACTACCGTCTAAACCTGTTCAACCTGTTGAGGTAAGGCTCATGCTCATCTTTCCATTTCAAGGCTTTACCACAGTAAAAAAAAAAAAAAAAAAGAACTAGAAAAATCTTTTTTAATTTTTCTTTCAGATGCGACCCTCCCAAGTTGCATGTGTTGGAAAAGGGGATATTCCTGAAGAGAAGGCTGTCAAGATTCAATTAACAGAAACAAAACCCTGTGTGAGTTGATGTGTCTGTCTTTTTCACACCTCCTTTAAATGTCTGTACTGTCTGCCAACTGTAGATAATGTAAAAGTATCAAACGTCTGATTGGAGCAAAGAAAATAAATTACAGGGAATTAAACTGTGCTGCGAAAACGTGTATCTTAAGCTGTGTGCAGGTGATATACCTGGACTGGAGTTTTGTTCTTGAAGCCAGGATTGATAAATATTTCAGAATGCTATGTATTCTTCTTCCTGTTGGATTATTTTTATGCATTTTTATGTATATTTTGTGAGAAACGTTTTACGTATGCAGGATTATTACATCAAAAGCTACATAATTTGTAAGTATATTTGTGGTTTGTTACGTTTCTGGGTATTATAATTGCAGGCATTTGAGATCCTCTGTAAATCGTACCCTGTGAAACTTTAGGAATCTACTGAAACGAAGTAGATGCTTTAATTTTAGTGTTTAAATACTGTGCCAGGCATAGCTACAAACTTTTAGTCAGATATTCCTTAGATGTTGTAAATCTTGAGAAGCTGGTTTAAAATATTTTAAAGAGGAAAGCTTAGGAAGTTTAGGTTTCAGGAATTTTTGTGGGAGCACTCAAAAAACATGTGTTTCATTGCAAGTTTTAACATTAAGACTTTTGAAACACATCTTCTGTATTTTATGTAAAAGTCAGGTGTACATTTCTGTGTTTGGTGCTGGATCCTTATCTATAGTCATGTTTTCGTCATCTAATTACCTGTAAATGGAAACAAAAATTCAGTCCTTTTATGTTATACCTCAGAAGACTTTAATAGAAGCCCTGCTTCTATTAAAGGTAAAGGTAGAACTAATAGTTACACAAGGAAGTAATATTACTTACTAAGTTGGGGTAAATAAAAGGTCCAGTCAGTAAGTTTTGGACAGGAATTTGTCTTACGGTGTGTCAAAGTTGTGTGTGAAAAATGTAAATCATGCTTTTTCCTGATTTAGTATTTAAAACTTTGTAATTCCCTTTTGTAGTATTTAGAAAAAAAATTAAGTTAATGAAAAGCATTTTTTTAAACAGGAATTCATGCTTTTTGTTTTTAATCTCACAGGAAGAAATTAAAGGAATTTTGGAGGATTTCTCGACACAATGGTGCAAACCTGGCAATTGTAATCTGAATATCTTCCAAGATGACAGCACAGTCTTGATGGAATTAAATGGTGGTAAGTAATTACAGCATAAAAAAAATAATAATTTTAAAAGCATAAGAAATATCATTTATCCAGGTCTATGCTAGTTTACTTAATAGATATTTATAAACTTTTGTTTTCAATTTGCAGCTGAAAAGTCTTCTTTGGAAAAGACACTCTATAGTGAAGCTTTGAAAGACAGGGTAAGGAAGATAATGACACCATCATGTTCTTTACCATTTCTCAAAATATTGTCCTTTTTTTGCTATAATTATATTAATAATAGTTTATTATTTCACTTTATATTACTGAGGATACATTAAAATTATTTTACAATTATAGGATGGCCACCAAGTACTAATTTTTATTTATTTATTTTTTTAAATTGTTTCACCTCTTTTAATCACATTTTAATTATCTATTTTTCCCAATAATTGTCCTATTAAACTTATAGTTGGGTGTAGCAGAAAATAGCAGTCCATCATCATCCAGTTCTTCTTCTGTATTCGTGGGAATATTGGTCACTGGTCTCCTGGCTGCCCTCGGACTCATTGTTGGGTACTATAAATGCCAACGGAGGCCTGAAACCAAGGGAGCAAAACTGGTAAGAGAGTTTTTATTTGTTTTTAGTTAAACATTGTACCCTTAATGTATTGAAGTGATCTAGCCTTAATTCTAACAGTATATTTCTGTTCACGAACACACAAGAATCCATCTTATACCACTTCTGCTTAAACTTCTGCTTAAACAACCCAAAATGGGTTGACTAGTCATGCTACAGTATTATTGTTTAAGGTGGCACATGAAGCTGTGACAAAAACAAAAGCTGGCAAGCCCGCAGCCCAACCAAATATAAACATGGAAGCACAGAAGAAAGCACACATAACTAATGCAGTCAATTCTATTTGGTCAGAATCTATGATTTCCTCTTAGAAAGAGAAATGGCAAGAGAGTAACAGCATTTATCTCTGCTGACATTTCATTTCTTACAGTTATTAGCTTTAGTAGGCAGGCACTAAGTGTCGTTTTCCTCTATCAGCTTGAAAAGTTTGCCTGAACATCCATTCTTTCACCAAACAGATAGCAATCCCAGATTAGCAATGAGAGAAACTAAACTTGAGTACATAATTAATCTGGTCTGCCAGGTTAGTGTTAAAGGGTTTTAGTATAAGTTAAAGTTTTATGTAACATGTCACACTAAATATAAAAGAACATTTTTAAATTATGAGCACATGTTCTCGTACTTGTCTTCTTTCACTTATCTGGGTAGATGGGGCCGTAGTCTCAGTAGAGACTCCCAGACTTCCCTCTCCCCAGACATACCTGTAATGTTCCGGCGGGATGTCCAGGGAGCACCTGGAAAAGATGTCCAAGCCACCTCAGCTCACTCCTCTCGATGTGAGGAGAGGCGGCTCTTCTCTAAGCCTGTCCCGGCAGACCGAACTCTGCCCGGGCATCCTGTAGAGACAAATAATTTCATCAGCTTGTGACGGATATCCCGTTCTTTCCGTCATGATCCAGATTTCTTAGCCTTAGGCGAGGGTAGGAACATAGACCGAAGTAAATTGAGAACTTCGCTTTTTTGCTCAGCTCCATCATCACCAAAACAGACTGGTTCAGTTTTCACATTATAGTGGCAGCCACACTGATCCATCTATCTATCTCCCACTCCATCCTCCCCTGACTCATGAACATGACCCCAACACACTTGCACTTCTACACTCGAGCCAGGAATTCTCCTCAGACCTGAATGGAACAGGACACCAAGAAACACGGCTTTGAATTTGGAGGGATTGATCTTAATCCCTCCCGTTTTGCTTTATTCTACTTTACAGCAATATAGTATGAGCTGGAAAAAACAAGAATTAATGCTTATTTAACTACCTACTTGAAGTTTCAACAAAGTGTTTTTTTTTTTTTTTATGAATAAGGAAGTTTTCCTCCTTTTTGATTACACTTATGATTTATTTAAAATCTGTTTCTAAATACAGATCCTGTATTTGGATCTGTATTCGGGAACTCAAACACAGTAACGCTTGAATTTTTAAGCTATTTTTGTTTGTTTTTTTGCACTAAATATTTATAATAAAAGAAGCAGTGTTGTTTTTCTTGTAGAAAATGTCTGGCGGTGTTTTTTTATTAGAGAATGCATTGGGCCAGCCAACAGAGAAACTGCAAAAAAAAGACAGTGCTCATCATCCAGAGACCCACGCCCTGCACTCCGTAGCCTTATGCATTTGTAATGCTGATCTAGATGCCAGACCCAGCTGTTTTCCTGCAAAACTCACATCACATAAACACATGCAAGGAAGCATATTTTGTTTGTGTTTCAATGTGTTTATGGGTATTGCTATTCTTTTAGTGTAAACACATATGTGTCTTTGTGTGTTTTATGTAAACATGAGAAATGCTTCATCTTTGATCTGCTTGGTCTGTGTACTCACAGTTGAGAATAAAAACAAGTGTAGTTTCCATAGATTTGCAATTCTCATTATGGCAGTATCATGATTTATTTAGCAAACACAGAAGAAGTGTGAACAAATTCCCTTAATACACCTAATTATTAAAAAAGCAGACTGAACCTCATTTGTAAACAGTCCCTTATTCTACGAGTTTATTGGTTTGTCAATATTGTAGGCAAAGTTTCACCCAAGATATAAATTTATGATATTGCATCAGCTCATTAAGGGTTTTGATATGGTCTCTAGAGGATACCAAAACAGAGCCATAGATGAACCAAATTGATCTGAACTTCAGTTGTTTGAAAGATGACCAGAGATTTGGCTCTATTTGGTGTACAGGGGGCTACGTATGACTCTATAGGAAAAATATGTTTCTTTCCAAAGCAACATTTTTTTTTTAACTTATGCTTTCGTCGTAGTTAGGAACATATGTCACTCAATATCACTTTAAGCAATACAAAAAATCAAGTAATAAAACAGGGCAATAAAAGTAAAAAACTTCTCAAATGTTACTTGAAATGCAGTTTCAGGAGGTTTGAAATATGTTTTTTCAAAGTACAGAAAACGTCTATACCTATGCTCTAATAGTAGAGCAATGTGAGCCACATCCAATCTTTTTTTCAGATATGTGATTCATATTAAGACTAAAACAATTAATCGGATCAATTGTGTTGAATCGATTATGAAATAATCGTCAAATAATTTAGTAATTGAATAATCATTAACTGGAATTTAGGGACTTTAAAACATGCTTTTAACTGACAAAGCCACCCACTTAAAGCATTCATTATATCAAAATTGTAAAAAAATATATATATATATAAACATTTTGCATCTAAAATAGAATAAACTTTTTCATTTGTCAATATGGTCTATCCAGAACTTCTTTAAGGAACCTATTAATTGATTTATCAAAAAATTATCGACAGATAAGTTGATTTGCAAAATAACCATTAGCTGCAGCCACAAAAAAGTTTTTAACTCCCCCAAAAAACTGTTTTTTTAATGGCACTGTAATCTCCCATTGCTCATTAGTCAATAATAATACAGAAAAAATGGAATCCACTTTTAAGGTTATCTTTTTTATTTTTTTTTTTCAAAAAAACTTAATTGAACACTTCTAGTGACAGTCACATTAACTATTGCTCCCATAAACAGCGCGCTGTTGCGGTAACTCTACGTCCTACTTCTGTGTGGGCGGGTCACTTTGATGTACTAAACTGTTCAGAATAAAACCTGAAGGAAGTCGCATTTAATTCAAAGTCTGAAAGCCCACCTGCTTAATTCTGGCTCTCCAAACATATTTAGTTACCTATTTACCTGAGGTGTCAGGAGATAGGAGTTTGTCTTGTAATCGGCCGTTGATGGTTTGAACCCAATCTATGTCTGGCTCTTGTTCTTGGAAATCTTGAAAATGTTAATTTACTGTCTGAAAAGCTGTACTAAATGAAATTTGGTTTTGTATAAAGTCTGTGTATTCAAAATGACAATACAAGTTGTCTAAGTCTAAGTTGTTGTGTCCTTAGGAAGACTTTATCAACTTTGCCTGCTGTCAGTGGTCAGTGGCCCAAGATGCCGATTAGATGGCAGCTTCTCTTCTGTCAGTCTCTCCCAGTGCACCTGTGCCTCCAATGTCACTTCTCATTAGTGGGTTAATGTCTGCTTTCCTTGCGACCAATTTGAAGTCCTTGATCTTCATCAAAGCACCCTTAAGTGTAGCACATTTAAATGTTTTACAAGGAGAACTGTCTTGTCTATATAGATATTTATATTTTGCCCGCATATAAATGTTGAATATGAGACAATTAAATGTTTAATGTTAACTAGTTGTATGCAATCAACACATAACAGGCAACAAATCAATCTTGCAAACTATTGTATTGTTTTTGCAGGCTGAGGAGGCCTACCCAGTGGATCAGGAAAATCAGGGGAACACCCTTGCATCTGAGGCCCCCCTGAACCCCCCTCCAGAAACTCAGGAGAAACCCAGTATTAACGGAGAGTCCCCGGAGGCAGTTAAAATCGAGACCCCCCCTCCCACCAACGGCCACTCCACTGCAAAGACAGCAGACACAGAGCTGTGAAATTGCCCAACAGCTGCTGCATTCCAGGAACTTCCTCCTGCTAACACTTTTATCTCCACCGATGCATACATGCCCACACAGAGAAAATTGGCAACTCATCCTGCTTAACCACAAAGGGGATTGTCCTCTTCCTCTCAGGCTTTTTGCCTCAACAAACATCAGGAAAACTAGTCTGATTATGATAATATTGGGAGTGGAAAAGCACAGTGACGAAGACTCAGGCCCTGGGTTTTTGAAGCAAGACCAACAAGAGGAGGTCCACATTTTTATTTTTACATTAATCAGCTCTGACTGTTATGACTGAAGTCAGCAAAGTCTAACACATCTAATCTGGTTTTGGAAATCTCAGTCTTACAACATTGCATGAATACATTTAAATATTTCTTTTAAATTTTAATGTTAAGTGGGAAAAGAAAGAAACAAACTATGCTCAATTTGAGAAATCTGTTTACAACTCTGACTAATAGAAGAAACCCACTGTACATGTTCAAACGTCTGCTGCATGTGTGTTTAATTAATGTCTCCAACTTCCATATAGCTGTATATACAGTATCAGTACATGCATCTAGGCTTGTCTTTCTTTTTTATGTTACCTGCTATGAGGACTTGATAAAGTGTGAAAGATTTTTTTGAGTAACTTTTCATGATGATTGTGAATATGAATGTTACATTAGCCATGAATTCTGTACAGTTGTTGAGATTAGATGAATGAGCTGCAGAGGAAGACAAATCAAATGTTCTTTTCATCTTCTTTCTTTTGAAGAGTTTGAACCAGCTGTCAAATTAAACTGTGGGGAGATTAACCAACAAGAGAACAAGAACAAAAAATAATGACTCTCAGCTTTTTTTTGTCCTGTTTATCATTGCTATTCTGGTGTCAGTATGTAACTGTTGTTTATTCCTATTGTGTGTAGATGTATTTTGGCCTCATATGTCAGTTTATAATCCATAATCAACCTTTTCCAACTAAACAATGTTTGATCTTTACCTTACTTAATGTTGTGAAAGCTTTATTATTATTCCTATGTTTTATATTCTTTTTTTATTTTTGGGGGGGAGGTCTTTGGAAACGTTTTGTAACTTTTTTGGATTAAGATTTTGTAATACCAACATCACAAAGCAAATTCACAAAAGCTTGAATTTTGCAAAAACAAATAAATAATCAGTGTTTCTCCTAACACTGCTTCTGGATTATTTTTTCCAGCTCTCTCTGTGAATATTGTTTTACACAGTCTGAAAATGTAAAGGAAAGTTAAGAGACTAGATTTGATCTTTCCAAGTTTGTATGAAAACCTCAATTTATAAATAATTTAAATAATATTAATCATTTAAATCTTTTATGTTGGTTTTGGTTTTTCCGTCTGTGTTTTTAAATTAGGATATTCTTAGATTAGCGTTTTTAACTTGACACATGGATCCGAGATCCACTACGGTTTTGATGCTTAAAGATCTCCTCCCTGGGCACCCCATGGTGGCAGCCCACTGATCCCCAAGGGGATTGGTTAAAGAGGTAAATTTCTCCAATGTGAGATGAATAAATTTTAATTATCACTGTTATTATTATGTTTAATGTATCGCTAATGTTTTCTGCACTGTGTGCTGAAAAATGTGTCTCACCTCTCAAGGAGCTTTTACAGACTGGCACTGGCAGAAGCCGGCCATCCATAACCAGCCATCAACGGGGGGTGGGGCTATTGCCCCATTGCAAGTAAAATCCTGCAACTTAAAAAATGTTACATATGCATGTCACAAAATATGCTTTACATGAAAAATGGCTACACACAGGTAGTAAGAGGTGGGTAATATTGTTGCATCACAACTGCCAAGTAAATAAAAAAGTTAAAGCTGTATCAGAGCCTAATATCCTTGAAGAAATATTTAATATCCTTTCCTCAAAGACAATATGAGAAGCATGTCATTGAAGTTGCAGAAGCAAAAACTTGCACCTAAAAGGAGTTTTGAGAGCCCCTGAAGAAAGACTCAGTCAACCTCAAAGTGGTTCTAGCAAACCATCAAGCCCCTCTTAAGGGAAAAGCAGTGCTTCACTAAAACTGTTTTTAGTGGGAGCATGAAGCTGCTGACCTAAACTAAACACAAGGTTGGATGACGAAAGGAATACTTATAGGCAGAGGCAGGGATGGGGCGCTCAAAACCAAACATGTTCATCACCCAGGCTGAAGTCACCAAGGCAGTCAAAGAACTTCGCGTCATTAAGGCTTTGAGGGTGAATGAAATCCTCCATGAGTAACGTAGGTCTGGATGTTGTTCTCCTTTGGTGACTGATAAACCTCTTTAACATCAGGATTGCCTATGTAAGGGGTGCGATAAAGGAACCTTTTGTCATGACTCAGAAAGAGGATCCAGTTATTGAAGCAGACAGACAGTTTGATATCTCAAAAACAGTTTATCAAGAAAAACGGATCTACAGTGAACATTGAGGACATCGAAGGCAGGTAACTCTGGTCTTATAGTTCAATCCATGCCCAGAGGACGAGATTTGTTCCAGCTGGTTGGCTGCCGACAAGACATGGTGGATGCTACACAGAGAGTCACAGACGTTGAAGTCCGGGAGGCTGGAGAACAAGTAGGAGTTCAGAATCAAGGAGATGAAGAAAGGCAGGATGGCGAAGCCAAAGCTGGTGTTGAGGACATGCTCAGGAGTCCAAGTAAGGAGGTCAGAGATCCGAAGAGGTACCAAAGGGAAATTCAAGACGGTGTCATGAAGCAGTTTGAAGACAAGTTAGGCAAATGAATCAGAATGGGAACAGGTAGGCTCTGAGCTCCAAAGGCAGAACAGGTCAGGATCAGCCAATCCGAAAACACTTAGATTCGCTAGAAGACTCTCAACAAGAGCTTGAATAACCTGGCACTGGTGACTGGTAGAAGGCAGGTTAAATAGAGGCTGGAGCAGGTAGAGCAGATGAATGGTAATGAGAAACTGGGCGGATCTAGGCAGGTGAATGAAATGAGTAATCAGGCCAGTCATCAGTGCCAAGGTCATGACAACTTTAGAACCTCAGCTTCAGGAGGAGCAGTGTGGTTTGTATCCTGGCAGTGGAACACTGGACCAGCTAAACACTCTCTGCTGGGTTCAAGAGAGTTTGCCCAAACATTCCACATGTGACTGGAGTTGAAGTTTTTCTATAAGACGTTTCGCCTCTCATCCAAGAGGCTTCTTCAGTTCTTCTAGAAAAACTTCACCTCCAGCTGCCTAATCTGAACCTTTTAAAGCTTGACCATGACCTGGATGACTGAGAATATTCACAGATATTCCACATGTGCTTTTTAGACCCAGAGAAGACATTTGAATGTGTCCCTCATGGTGCCTTGTGGGGGACACTACAATCTTATGAAGTTGGAGCCCTTTATTAGAGGCCATATGGTCACTGTACAAGGAAAGCAGGACCCTGGTTTGCATTGCTGGTATTAAATCTAAACTGTTCTCAGTGCATGTTTGTCTCTGCCAGGGCTGCCCTCTGTTCCAGTCCCATTAGTAACCTTTATGGACAGGATATCTACGTCCAGCCAAGTGCAAGGGAAGGGGTATAGTTTGGGGATCAGCCAATTTCTTCCCATCTTTTTGTGGACATTGTAGCTTTGCTGAATCCCTCCCGCCAGTCCTATAGCATGTGGTAGTTTGCAGTCAGCAAGGATGATGATCAGCTACTCCAAGTCCGAGGCCATGTTTCTCTACCGCAACAAAGCTGACTTGCATTCCTTAGGTCGGAGGAGTTTTCCTCAAATAAAGGAGTTTAAGTATCTTCTGGTCCTGTTTATGAGGGATGAGAGAACCCTGTGGGAGTGGGAGTTCAATGGGCTGAATGGTGCAGCTGCCACTATGATAAAGACACTGCAGCGGATTGTTTTGATAAAGAGAAAACGTGAAAAAAGGCAAAGATCTCAATTTACTGCTCTTTATTATGTTTGATACTTTATTAATTAGACGCTGGACTCCTGGTTTAATACATAGGTGCATCCTTTGAAGCACAATGCTTAGCAAGCTGGAGAAACAATTGTGCTCTTCATATCTACATGAATCCTGCTTAATCTGGAAACATAGTCAACTGCTGTATAAAATGACCCTGCATGAAACAAGAACTGCATATTTCTGTCAATTAGTAGAGATGAATAAGAATAGTCCTACATTTCATTTTAATACAGTTGCCAAGCTCAAACAGAGCCATAGTCTGTTGAACAGTCTCTTCCCTCATGCTCTTATCAGTAATGATTTCATGGGATTCTTTATACGTAAATAAGATTGATTCTATAAGAAATGATCGTTGGCACCTTTTGCTTCCTCTCCGAAAGCGGACTTATAGGTTATGTGTTCAGAGTTGACATGTTCTGCATTTTCTGAAAGAACAACAGGCAAGTTAAAATGATGTGCTTTTCTTTTTGCTTTTTATTTTTATTGTGTTGTTTCAAATCAATTGATATGTAGCAATATAACTTGCTTTGTAATCCTCATTCCAATATGATTATTACTTAACATAGACTTGAATGTTTTTGTTTTGTTTGTTAAAAAAGAAATCACTTTTAACTTTTTAACTTTTTGCTTCAGGACATATAACTGAATATCTAGAGATCAATATATGAACATATTTCCAAACATGCTTGCGCCTACAGACATCTGTTCCATGATACATAGGGAATTTAAATCCCACACAGCCCATAAGGTTGGACAGCTGGTTTACATAAGCAGCACCTATGACATCACGCTGTTTCTTCTTGACCCGCTAGGGTGTGGCTGCAAAAACATTTCCCCCTCTGTCAATTGAAAGCCAAATAATGTTCTCATGAGCCTTCAGTATTATTTTCACATTGAGATAGGATTTGGGATTTTTTGTTGTATAGTAGAAATTAAAAATGTGCACAGCATCCTGCATTTTCCTTCATGAGAGTATTACTAGCTGATTTTTGAGTGATTTTGTTTAGAAATTCCACCCTGTAATGTGCCTTTCCATATCATCAGCAAAATATTTCCCCAGAACCATTTTGCATTCCAAGAAAGGTCAGTATGTGAAGCATTTACTGTAAAAATGAATAATATTTACCATAGAGACCCATGAAGGCCTCTTAAAGGTTTCATATGGAGCTTGGCACATCACATCAAAATAAGGTTGTAAGACTCATCACAAAACATATATTTATATGTTTCAGGTTCCAAAACAAATATGGCCAACACCAGCAGAATCAGGAAATAGTGGCCCTGTGAGAATAGAGATTGGCTGTATGCCAGTAACTCTAGATTGTAAGTTCAGAGGCCATGTTGTTCTGCAAAAGTCTTATACAAACCTTTAAAAGACTTGCAATGGTTCATAAAGATGATAAGAATGTTGCAAATTTAATCTATAATTTCAAATGCTTTTTCAGTTTTCCATAGCACTCACCCTTTCCAGATCAAACATGGCATGCTTCGAGGGACACAAACTGACACCTGTTAGGTCTGTACTCTGATATTCTGCAAAACAGCTGCCAATCATTTACTCAGCCATTTTCTGAGTTTACAGTTTTTCCACCCATTAACACCTGCGCCCCTTCCCTAAGCCCCCATAAACTTGGCCTTCTTCGTCTTTCTTCTGTTTCCCCAAGCCTCAGCCCGCTCCACTCCCATGCTCTCTCCCATCCAGGCCTCAGTTTCTCCACCCTTCTTATCCTTCCATCTAGCCAAGAGTAATGTGTGTGAAGTGGAATCTGGGATTATGTACAAAACTCAGCTGGTTGTTTTGATTATGTAGGGGCTTCATCCTCATCGTAGTTACAGCTGCCAAATATGTCGTATTTTACCTCTTTACGCCAAACCCCTTTCCGTCTCTACTCTCACTCCCCCCCTCTTCCCAAACCATTAGTGTAATACTGGATGGACTGGGTATTAAAGGAAAACATAACATGAATCCAAGGTCATTACTGTAGTTGTGGTCTTCATATTCAGCACTTAATTAAAGGGTTAAAGTTTTCTGTGCACGTTCGGGTTCATGAAAAGGTTCAGGAGTATAATGTGACCAGAGAATTTATTAGATTTCAAATTTTCTTTACCAGAAAAAAAATCAAATACCAACTCATAATAATCTTAAAGCAGTTGCATCACATTTTCCCTTTGAGGTAGACAAACAGTGAAAAAATGACAGCAATTTCCTTAATCTCAGAAACAATATGTGCCTCTGTCTGTTTCCTACTG